GTTTTTCTTGCCTAAATGTAGAACCTTACTTTTTTCACCATTGAATTTCATTTTGTTAGATAGCGCCCAGTGTTCAAGTCTGTCCAGATCCTCCTGTATCCTAAGCCTGTCTTCTGGAGTGTTGGCTATTCCTGCCAGCTTGGTGTCGTCTGCAAATTTGATGAGTTCCCCATCTATCCCCTCGTCCAGATCGTTGATGCTTTTATGGGAAGGGAAGATTTATGCTTTATAAATGCCTCTTCAGCTGTTCAAAACAGACCTTTATATCCAAGTGGGGTCAATCCTTCTTTGGAGTTGTCTTTCTCCAAGTGGCCTTATTCTCCTAGTCAGGATCATTTCTCTCTAGATTCATCTTGCAATTTTAGGTTAATCTTAGAAAGTTTTATCATTTGCTATGGACAATCAATATACTGAGTAAAACTAAACAGTAATCCTTTGGGCAAGAATGCCATGACACAAAGGTAATGCAGACTATGCATATTCCTTCCTTGATAGATTAAAATCCCAAATCCTGCCCTAAACCCCTACAAGTCAAATAATATTATCTGCTCCCGAGCTCTCCAAGTCCCATTATTCTCTGTCAGCCTTATGAGGCAGACCAGACAGGAAACACGACCTAATTCTACTTTATTGTAAGAATACAATAAGAGAATCATGCAAGTCAGAAAGTTTTTCCTCTTCCTCCATTCTGTTCCTTTTAACCTGAAAACTAGGGAGGACTTCTGACCTCTTGTTCCAGACTCATTAACCTGCTGCAGGTTAAGCTGCCTTTTATACGATTGCTTCTTTGCTTGTATCCAGTTCCCTATGTCCCCAGGTCATTCTTCATACTATTACATTTTCCATTTCCCTTTCAGAATAGAATCCCCTAGATTGTAGAAGGTGAATGTACAACCTATGATGGTAAATAATGACCGATTCTTACTTTATAATTACCTCTTTAGATATTATAATAATAATAAAGTTGGAAGGGACCTTGGAGGTCATCTAGTCCAACCCCCTGCTCAGGCAGGAAACCCTATACCATTTCAGACAAATGGCTGTCCAGTCTTTTCTTAAAAACTTCCAGTGTTGGAGCATTCACCGCCTCTAGAGGCAGGTTGTTCCACTGGTTAATTGTTCTAACTGTCAGGAAGTTTCTCCTTAATTCTACGTTGCTTATTTTATTTTATTTTATTTTATTTTATATTTTATTTTATTTTATTTTATTTTATTATTTTATTTTATTTTATTTTATTTTATTTTATTTTATTTTATTTTATTTTATTTTATTTTATTTTATTTTATTTTATTTTATTTTATTATTTTATTTTATTTTATATTATTATTTATTTTATTTTACTTTTTTATTTTTAAAAAAAGCCTTTATCCATCTTAGAGAATTCATTCATGGATTACTATTGTTCATTGCACAGTCAGACAGATGTTCAAACCGGATTTGGCATTTTTATCCACCTATTGAATCATTCCCAAGGACTTGGGATAGGCAGATGTGGATGTTTGATGATGTTTAAAGGTATTGTTGCAGGATGTAAGATGTTTTAAGTAAAGCTGTATTTTGCAATTGACTGATGGTGAATTTGTCAAGGCTGGTGGTTTCCAAATGATGCTCAAGATGTTTTGGGATTATGCCCAAGGCACCTGTGACTATAGGTACTTCGTGTGTTTTTAGTATTTTGTGAAAAAATGCTCAAATATTTCACAGTAGTGGTCCCTAGTTTTCACCAGACTCTTAAAGGGATGCTGACACACAAAAAATGTTAAGAACTCCTGGCCTTAATGTAATAGGTTTGGAGGCATCTGATTCAACTAGAGCAGGGGTAGGCAACCTCGGCTCTTTTATGACTCATGGACGTCAACTCCCAGAATTCCTGAGTCAGCTATGCTATGCTGACTCAGGAATTCTGGGAGTTGACGTCCATGAGTCATAAAAGAGCCGAGGTTGCCTACCCCTGAACTAGAGGATTCAAATAGAATTGAGGCTTCAACTTGTAGATTAAATTGAGCTGCGTTTAGATCAAATTTCAAAGCCAATGTTTTTTACTTTTAATTTGGGGAACAAAAGTATTTTGGGGAAAAATCTATGGATCTTTTTGCTGCTTTTAAATTTCATTTTACTACTGCTTTAAGTAACAGTAGTTACACCATTCACTCATAATGCCTCTTGGGCAAATACTTCCATGTGATACATTTTTAGGGAAATTGATGCTGTTTAGTTAGCAGCTCTGTGTATAGTTAAAGGCATAGAGATGGATGAGGTGGGAGATGACTTTCTCCATGTAATGCTCATGGAATCCCTTCATTTCCTCAGTTAAAGCAATATTTATGAAATAAAACTGCAGACAGTAAAATCTTATGCAACATTTATTTATTTGGCTTGCACAGCAGTTGGTGGGGTATACATTGCGAGCTTAAATGGTGCGTTTGATGGTGCTTGCTTTTTTATTTCCTTTTAGTTTAAGAAAAATTGCAAGACTATTCAACAAATGCAGAAGAAGAAAACAATAGCCACAAATCTGCACAAAAACATAAGGACTGGGGGGGATCCATATTCAATGGAAATGCTAGGGCTATCCTAAAGAGCCTTTTAAGTGAGCTGCTTCATATCTCAGCTCAGATCTGGCTCTCATCAAAGTGCACAGGTTTTCCACCTGCACAACGCACAACAATCAATCTTGATGAAGTGTTCTCACTATATCTGCAAGGCGGACGGTTGGAGCCCCCTCTGTTCTTGCAGGTGGTGACCGAAAATCGGTTACGGCTACGCCGAAGCCCATTACCATAAGGCTGACCTCCGGAACCACACACTTTAATGATGTTTTTCTTGGTGCCATGAATGAAGGAATTTTTATCCTTGCAGTTTGGCTTGGTCATCTTCCGTCTTTGCATCATGCTGTCACAGTAGCGGTTTCCAACGTTGCTCTTTGGATTATCATAGTGCTGTCTCAAGAAGATCTTATAATCAGGAGCATAGGCACCTGGTAACAGCACCACAGCCAGAACTACGAAGAGGACCAATTCAAAACCTTTAAAAGGCATTCTCATGTTGGCAGTTCAAAAGGGACACCTGAAAAAAGTAGAGAAGATAGTTCAATGCTTTGGTGGACTATCAGAGGCAATACTGTGTTTGGAAAAAATGGAAAGTAAAATGAAGTTGTCCTCTTTGGTATCTTTTGTGCAAATATTTTAGGAGTCAATTTCATGAATTCTCACATTAAAATTATATGCAGCTGTCAACGTTTAATAAGATGTGATCACTTTTTTGAAGCTTCTCATCAGTGATAATTTCCAGAATGGAGAATTTTTGATAGTTGTTGAGCTTTGCTACTCGCTGGTTGACACTTCATTACTCAACAGGATGACATAGTTGAGTCGTGAAAAATTGGCCAGCAAACAACCAAGTTCAAAAACCATCAAGGCCTGCGCAGTTCAACCCCAAACTACAGATATTCTCTTTGATTGGAATATCCAGACTTTATTTACTATTAAGCTTCATATTAATTAATTAATTAATCAATTAATTAATATAATTCATATATTAAACATAAAGCTATGTTTACTGTGCATGGTTCACAACCACTTAAGCCAATGTGGCCTAGAAATAACATGGTAGAGTAGGACTGGGGATACTGAGCTTCAAGCTTTTGTAGCCCAACTTACCTCTGAGGGTTATTGTGCTGAAATCTCTCTCTCTCTCTCTCTCTCTCTCTCTCTCTCTCTCTCTCTCTCTCTCTCTCTCTCTCTCTCTCTCTCTCTCTCTCTCTCTCTCTCTCTCTCTCTCTCTCTCTCATCTATCATCTATCATCTATCTATCTATCTATCTATCATCTATCATCTATCATCTATCATGTATCTATCTATCTATCTATCTATCTATCTATCTATCTATCTATCTATCTATCTATCTATCTATCTATCTATCTATCTATCTACTGGAAGAAAGCAATTGCAAACCAATTCTCTATTGCTTCTCATAAAACCACATGAATATGTCTGTATAATTAATAGAATTCAGGCTCATGTTGAAGGGAAATTTACTTTTATCCTCTAAAAAGAGACATGGGAACTAAAAACATACATTTTACTTGGTTAGTAGAGAATGCAGGTTAAAAATAACTAAGGGACTAGAACAGTTTTCCTATGAGGAATGTCTAAACATTTTGAGGCTTTTTAGCTAAGAATGAAAGTAAGCAGAAATATACTGTCACAGACACAATTATGCAATGCCTGGTAAGTTGTTGAAAAACAGTTTGTCATTGCCTTCATCAATTTTTTTTTCAAGTTCCCTGTTGAGCCAACAGGCAGTTCATTTTCTGGCAGTTTCCTTTCCAAGTATTAAACAGACTAAATTGGTTTAGTTGCATGAAAATGTTTGGGTATCTCTGTGCTTGTGTGATGTTTGTAGGTGTGGGTGTATCCATACATCCACACACATAGACAAACAGATATATATCTATTTGTATGTACAGACAGAGAGACTTACATTTTTCCTGTATTTATCACTTCCTATAGGTGATACAGAACAGAAATGAAATTTCTAACCTGCTATAAGACAAGATAGAACTTCTATCACAGTGCATGCAAGAAAACAGAATCCTAAAGGAAGAACACCTTCAGTTGTCCAAAAGGACAGCAAGTTAAACAGAAAATCCCATCCTCAGATCAAGGTACTGAAACAATTTGCTTTGATCAATATCCAGTAATGAATAAAAATGTCTTTAGAAGCTCAAATGAGAAGATGATGACTTGAAGTATTACAGACACAACATGCCAAGGAAAAATTATTAGAGAGATATGTATTTGGTAAGGTTGAACGAAGACACCGAGCAGTAAAGCTGGCAGTACAGCTAATTGTTATATAACAACAACCATGGATGCCACTTTAACAACACTCAGCAGCAGTTTGACTGAAGGAAGAGCACAATTCTAGACAAATATCCAGTCAACATACTGTAGCCATGTGGCAGCCAACAATGATAATACAGAATAGGAATATTATACTGTATAATATTATTGGCTTAAAATATCTTATTTTTAGACAGAAAGACTCAGTCTTATATAAGTGAGATGTTATAAACCAAAATTATTGCTCAGATATCCAATTTTTCAATCTTTATCCATTCAGAGAACACTTTAATTTTGATTTCTTACTTATTTACTCTTTATTTCTGTGTTTACTGTCATAAATATAATTTCAGTATTTCCTGTTGGAAATCACTATTTTTTTTCATCCTTTCTCAGAACATTTGCTTTCCCTTTTTTAACTTTCTTGGTGGGGATACCATAATGCCCTTTTAAATATAGATAGATATAGATGATATAGATATAGATGATATCATAGATGATATAGATGATATTATAGATGATATAGATATAGATGATATTATAGATGACATAGATATATAGATGATATAGATGATATAGATGTAGATATAGATATAGATATAGATGATATAGATGATATAGATATTGATATAGATGATATAGATGATATAAATGTTATATAGATATCAATGATATAGATGATATAGCTATAGATATATAGATATAGATGATATAGATGATATAGAGATAGATAGAGATAGAGATAGAGAG